TAAAAGAAGAAATTATTTATTTATTATAAATGATATAGTTATAATATTAGAAGGTATTGTAAAATTATAATTATAATGTGTTATCATATGATTAATTTTTTATTAAATAATTTATTTATGATATTTTATATTTACATATTTAATGACGTGTTAAAATTATAAATTTATAATTTTAGGTAGTATTATATCTATATATTGCAATTTATTTTGACTATTTTTCCTTGTTTTGCCTTTTCTCTACTTGGTCCGGAATCAAGTCAGGCATAGAACAACAATAGATTCAGCCCAAGTAAGGCCCAGCCTAATTGGGGAACCTAAAAGGCCGATACCCAACAACCTTGATTCCCTTCTAATTTCTCTTTTCCTGGAAAATCCAAATGATAGATTAGGCCGATCATCAAACCGGACCAACCAACCTTTTTTTTTTTCATAGTATAAGATGGGGTTACTAGTATTTATTGTTAATGTTGTTTATGGTATTTAATTGAAGCAATTAATTCCATTGTTTCAATAAAGGAAGAGTTACTAGTATTTAATTGCTTTTCTCTTTGTTTTTGGCCCAGAATTAGCTGCTTTTCTTTTTATGTTCTTGACTTATTATACCATAATTGGTTAGTTAAATGAATTTGAGATAGACGTATGTTTTTGTGTAGGATCCATCCCACTCTTTTAACAAGTCCAGACAACACGAGAAAATGTCCGAGTCGGACGACCTGTTACCTAGAATTTTCTAGCTTCATGTTTGCAGCCTTTATTTTTTTTTACTTTTTTGCGCATGGTATACATTTCCTCAAACTTATGATCCATTATTTAAATGATTTGAAGATAATTTTTTTTAGTTCAAATAATATTTACAATGTCTTTTTATATAATGACATAAATATTTAAGTTTTTAATTTAAACATATCTTACAAGTATTTGTAAATTATTTTATCCATAAGTATCTCATAGGTAATTAAGGTTTTATCTTCAAAAAGATATGTAACAAGCATGAAGCACTAAAATTGTTCACTCAATGATGTTAAAGAATTTAAACTTATATTTGACCCATTGGATCGAATGGCTCTTACCACTTTGTTAAGGTGTAATTCCCTCCTCTTATTAAGACTAAGTTCAAGTCCCCATGATACCTTATTCAAAAAAAAAAAAATTCAAACTTATATTTTTAACATAATTTAAATGATTCTTAACTTTATTCACTTAAAAAACCAAAAAAAAACTTTAATCACTTAAATCAACTGTAATAAATCTTTTAAGAAATTTTTAATGAATATTTCTTATTAAATACAATAAAAAGTTGACGGTTTAAACAAAACGTTCATCATATTTCGTTAAAAAAAACTTTGTTATAAGAGTTAATAGTACTTTTTAACACGCTAATTTAAAAAAAAAAAAATTCTGACAATTTTTCTAGGCAAAACTTATTTGGAGGAAAATATCCTTTCAAATTTCAAACCAATACAACAAGGGTTAGTTGGTCAAAGTTTGAAAAACGCGGCGTGCCAACTGCTTCGCTGCTTCCAAATAGGTCCATACCATTTTGGGCATATGAGATTATTAGGAACAGCCCAAAACAGTTTGAAAGCGGGGCTCAAAATCAAATTTTGAATAGAAGAACCTACAAATTTTGAACCTCTGATGGTCCAAGTTGTCCAGAAGGTGCAAGAAGATAGATGAAAGAAACATTTCTTAAATATGGAATCTCTGGGCAGAGTCCAGTGGAACTGTGGAAGAGCTAAATTGCTTACAGGATGAGGTGCAGCTGAGGCAAGGGCGGATGGACACATGGAAATGGAAGCATACAAGTGAAGGTTCATATTCTGTCAAGTCAGGATATGCAATACTGACATTGAGCCATTCGAGTGGCCGGGGGAAGGAGCGGTCCAAGAATTAAACATAAAATTCTCGAAATGCAAACTTCTATAACAATTTCCCTTACCTCTCAACCTGATGGTGGTCTGGCTCATGCATGAATCAAATGTCCCAACCCACCCACAGAAAGAATCAAGGAAACAGAATGCAAGAAAAAAAAAACTTGGAGCATGGTATGATAATATTCCAAATAATCCAAGGAAGCAAATGATGAAATAAAGAGAAAACAGCAAGATTATCAACTTAATTAAATGCCCCAAATGCAAAGGCTGCAGTGGATTGCAAATGATTGCCACAGTACCCAAAAAGGAGGAAAAAAAAGTAGCAGAATGTGAGAAAAAGCGATTAAATACTAGTAACTCTTCCTTTATTGAAGCAATTATTAATAATTTTTATGGTATAATAACTAAAATTTGATTTTATTGTTAACATTTACTTTAATGTAGGATTTAAATTTGACCTTAGTTACAATAACCACAATTACCTTAAACCACCATACCAAACAAGTTACGGCTAGTTTTATCTCGGAGTAAGCATAGAAGTAACTCAAACTCGCACCCTTATACTTCATGTTGGTGAATTGAGAAACCATTGTCTTATCTTGATGAGTTACCCTATAAGGTCTTGATCAATATTGTTTCACGAACCAGTAGGGTTTTATTTTATTTTATTTTTTTAGTGTGGTTAATATATAATATTACCAGTATCTGCTAGCTGTGAACACAATAAAGGGTTATAATTCAAAGTGCAAAAGGTTGAGGTAAATTTCATTGTTTTAATAAGTGAGGAGTTAAAAATATTATAGTAAAAAATGAAGAGTTAAAACTTATAAATCTAATAAAGTAAAAAACTAAAAGTTGACTTCTGTGACAGAGTGAAAGGTGGCAAACAAATTTGGGGTGGGCACCGTGGGATAAGGTACCTTACCCGGTATTTTCTTTTTCTTTTTCTCTTACCAACAATTTTTGGCCAATGATTTTTCCTACTAATGTTATGTTAAAAATATTTTTTAGATAAGTGGTTACTCGTCCAAATTTTTTGCCAAAAAAATCCTCTACTATTACCATACAAATAAAAGCGAAATTCATTTGATACATTTGTTTTATTTGCAAATTTAAAGTATTATACAACCTCTAGAAAAAATTAATTTACAATAAAAACATTTCAAGTGAAATTGATATGTCATGCATTGAATGAAATAAAACTTTAGATTTAGAGTTTTTAACTTAAAATTTTACCTTTTTTTTTTTAAACAAACTTAAAATTTTACTTATACACGTTTAAATTTTAATTAGCTTAAAAGAAGTATATATATATATATATTTCTTATTTTACAATCTGAACTGTTTTAAACTATAAAATAAGAACATCTAATTGGGACAAGGCCCCCAATATTAGTGGCCCTCCTCACATGAGATAGTTAATGTTTTGGGTGGTGCTATAGGAACAATTTTTTATATTACTTTTTTATACAACTTCCACATGTTATTAAATGAGTGGATGCATTCAATATCACAGGTACCATAAGAATTAAAAAAAACTAATTATTTAAAAAACACATCATGTTATATAAAAAAGTAAAACAAAAAAATTGTACAAAAATTATTTCCCTAATGTTTTATAGTCTAAAATAGTCTAGACTTTAAAATATTTTTTTGATATATATAATTATCTTTTTTATTTAAAAAATTATGTTGATAAAAAATGAATAAACTTCAACCATTGAAAATGAATGGATGAATTATTAAGATTTTGTATAAATATAATCTATAAAACTTTTATGTAAATGAATTCTAATTATGAGATAGGATTCACTTACAAATAGGTTTTATACACTATATTTATACACAATTTTAATTATTTATCTTTTCACTTTTAATAATTGAGATTTATTTCTTTTTTATCATATTTATTACAAATAATTATCTTTTATATATAAAAAAAGTGATAAATCTAAATAATTAAAAGTAAAAAAATAAATTATTAAAATTTTGTATAAATATAATATATAAAATTTATATATAAATAAATTTCTACTATATGTATATATATAAATACGTGGCTGTTAATGGATCTCTCCTATCATTATTGTGCCAATACAAATTAATAATTATTAATCATCACTAATAATCAACGCGCTTATCATTTTGCCCTGTCACTAGCTTACCGCATAGCATTATAATGTAGTTGGCATGGTGTGACATAGCAATGCCCACCCCTATCTGGAAATCCAAGGGACAATTCACATCCTCTTACGGTATGTCGAAACAACCCAATGACCAACTCTTTTTCCCTTTTTTAATCAGCTGAACAACTCCCTCTGCAACCCTTGTAATGTGTTGGAATCAATAATCAACAATGGAGTGTCTCAAAACATTGAAACCTATGATTCTTTTATTGTTATCGCTTCCCACAGCTACATTTGCATTGAAAATGGCTTTAACTAGTGATGATAACGAGGCTCAGCAGGATTAGAGAATGTTTTCCCATCTCCATTCTCACCGAGTTGCGGAGACGAAAATTATTTTGAAAATTTTCAACATGGTAGAATTTATCCCGTCCCATTACCCAATAGGGAATGGGTAGATGTAGGGATTTCCCGCTTTTTGTAAATTTATATTATAAAATTAATTTAATTATTTTTATTTTATTATTTTAAAATAAAATATTTTAAAAAGTAGGGGTAAAGTAAAAAGATGCTAAATTTAGTTTGGTTTAACATAATTAGACCTTACTATTGGATTAAAATTAAAAATGAGTAATAAGTAAACCCATTGTCTATGAATTAAAATATTTAAATTGTGTTGGGTTTATTATTATTATTTTTTTAATATTTCATGAGAACAAAAATCCGTGCAAAAATTCCTCCCACAAAATTTCACACAAAGAAAATGCTTCTCATCCCTATCTCCTAGAGAAAAATATTTCTCCTAGCCTCCCTCCCACGGCTAGAATCATGTAGGCCCCATAAAAATCGAGAAAAATCATCATCCCTAACATTAACTATTAATTTAGAATCAGTTTCTGGGGTAATGTTGGTTCGGTTTTCTCTTTATGCCTTCTTCAATCCTAGCTAGTTTTATAAGCTTCAATCAGAAGGGTAGAAGAACATTGAACAATAATACAACCTGTCTTGAACCACTAATCCCCTAGTATCTCTCACAATGACTCCAATAGCAGCTTCCATGCTCCCTTGCTTAGTACCAAAGGCTTTTTTTTTTTTTTTTTTTTAATGGAAAAGGGCGCCCTTACATTTGATATAGTTTATAGAACTCACCTTGCGTTCTGAGCTCAAAAAAATCAGGTATTCCTGAAATGCTTGTCCTCACGGACTTCAATAAGTCCTAAAAGTGCTCTTCCCTAAATCAAATCAAAACTAGTTATGAACACTACAGATTATACGTACAATGTTCAAATAAAGATTCAGACTGCGTCTAGAGAACAGTAGAACTCATACATGTATGAAGACTAGTGCATGACACTCACAATCTAACAGGAGGAGCAATTTTTTCCCCCACATAAATACATAGGGTGGAAGAAAATCTTGTCATGTCCTGCTAATTTGGCCAGATTTCAATGCCTTTAATAATGACACCGCTCTTCCAGTGACCATTGAAACGAAAAATTCATACTTTCAATTTGTCATCTTCACCTCCTTCATTGAAGAATTCACCCAACTCTAGCTCTGAGCAACTGTCTCCCCTCTCTATTGGGTATCCGTAATCATTTTGTACATCTTCACCTTCTGCATCCAGAAACATGGTTCGTTGTAAACCTTCAGTTCTACTAAGTCGAACAGTGGCTTCTATGGGTTCATTTCTAAATCCAAAAACTCTAACTACCAGCTTGAACACGGGGTATGCCTTATAATGTGCCATTGAAGAAAGCTTGCAAGTACTGAACCTCCCATTGATTTCAAACCAATAAATGTCAAGAAGCTCCGCACCCTCAGGGAACTTGTTTGTAATTAAGCATGAATTATAGACATTAATCTTCACATATTTATTCATTTTTAGTTGGTGAAAACACTTAAAAACAATCAACTAATGCTTGAATTCTTTTGGTTGGGTGTGAGTGAAACTGTGTCATGCATGCCTTTGTCTGCATTTTCTGTGTGGTGTTTGCATGTGTGTGTGTGTGAGAGAGAGCTGAAATCTCGTATGGAGTTCAGAGAGAGAGAGAGAGAAACCTGGAATCTCATATGGAGTTCCATCTCCAATAACGAGGAGTATCACCCCTGGCAGCTAGCATGTAACATTTCTTCCCACTCCTTTTGTGCAGTGAAAAGCTCTATGCAATACAGGTTATACATTTAAACACTCAACTGGTTCTGAAAATGTTGGCCAAAAAAAAAAAAAAAAAACTAGTTTGGAAAAGATTACTGATCAAACTTCAAAATATCAACAAGGAATTAAAGGAGCACATAAACTCACCATAGAAAGGACATAATCATCATTAATCATTATTACATCACCAACAAGAACATAATCCTCTAGCAAGCATATTCCCAAAAAAAGAAGCCTTGAATAACCAGGCAACACATCCATAAGTTTTGTAAATTATACCAATAAAAATCCTTGTGGTTAGCTGCTTCATATAGACATGAATTCTGGACTATCGACACAAAAGAAAATTACACCAAGTCATGGATTCTTAACAAGCCATATATAGCTACACAAACAAAATCAATGTTAAAAGTCCTCAAAAAGTTTGTAAAAAAAATGTTAAAAGTTCTTAGGAAAAACCATTTACAGCAGACAAAAAGCGTGTAGCTCAATTAGCTACACACAGCAATTGATTGGAAAAGGAAGGCATTATCAGAATTTGGTTTTTTTAAGCTTATGATTCATACTCAGTCCAAACAATGAAATCTTACAATATGCATATGTCGAGTCAAGTACCTTGCTGAGTGAAAAACTGAAAAGAGCCAATGATTAACACTACCTAAGATTGTAAGATTTAGGACTGTAAGATTTTATTAAGAAAACATGTACTCCCTCGTCTTTAGTCTGATTTAGTTAATCTAATTTAAATTTTGCATAAAGTTTGACTGTATGTAAATCAGAAAAGTGATGTGTAGTCCGTCCTCATACTACAATACCGTAACCAAGGGGCAGAATGCACATCTTATAACAACTAATGAGGGGCAGGTCCTTGCATTGGGAGAGTTTCCGTACATCAATGCTACAGTCAGCCCAAATTGTCCCCAAATCCTTACTCTAAACATAAAACCGAAAAACTCTTGTTTGGGACGGATGGAGTAATTAAATTTATTCTATGGATAATTTTTATTGAGTATTTTTAATTAATTAATTTTCTTTTTTCAATTACGATTTGTTTGTCATATAAAATTATCAAATTAATTTGTATACAATTGATGAGTTAGGAGAACTAAAATGAACCAAAGGAGGAGTAAATCATTTTCCAGTGAACACAACATACCAAACTATAGGATTATATGAGGACCGAGAAACGAAAAGATCGGAAGGCAGGTGGGAGTCGAGATGTATATATTTACCTTTTTGCCATTTTCAATGAGCACAGGATGATCGCAGAGGCTGAGATAAAGGTCCTTCAAGGGAGAAACGAAGCGCGATACGGGAACCAAATTCTGATAGTCGGCCGGCAAAACTTAACCCAAACGGCGTCGGAACTGGCGACAGAGTTGAAAAAGGGGGAAACTAGTGACCATCTGCAGGCATCGAGAGGACTGGTTAAGGAGATGATGGCGGCGAAGCAATCGGCGGGAAGAGCACGGAAATCCAGCGTCTCTGGATGGAATCGTTGACCCCTTGGACCAGTACGCATTGTGACCGAAAATGTGGAATGCCAACGGGTGGATATTTATTTGAGAAACTGAAAATTGTTTTCCATAGCATATTGTAAATAGTTCGTTCCTAAAATTATTTAAATATTTTTAATAAAATAATATAAAAAATTAAAAATATTTAAATAATTTTATAAAATAAACTACATA